GTATTTCTGACATGGGTATGGCTCCTAAATCCCAATAGGAAATGTGCAAATCTTAGATGTGATTGAGAAGACACCTGGCTAAAGTTGTTTAGATACTTGCTGGGAACAAAGCCCCTATAGTAAGTGCTTGTTTAGTTTTATTTTTCCCAAAACAGCATTATGTTAAGTTCCATTTACTATCCAGAGACCACGATAACACCTTACAAACCTTTTGAAGAAGTGAAAACTAGAGATGTGATGAACATCTTGGGGAGATAGACCCAGATGCATTCATAGTTCCATCAGTACCTGTTATGAAAAGATCAAGAGACTCTCCCAACTGTAGAGTTCCTGCCAAAATTTTACTCTCCCTCCTGGGGTCCCTGCTGCTTTTATAACCAGGAAGACAAGCCCGAGTTTACCCTGGAGGACTCTAATGAAGTCTTACCTCTCCCAAATGCCCCCCCTGATTTTTTATGTGTAATAAAAGAAATATCCCATTATGCCTTGATATCTGTAGAAGAAAGTCTTTCTTTGTCACTGTCATTATTGTGACTCTCCTAGGTCATTTTCTGTGGCATAACTAGGAGGCTTGTACATTAGGCACATATTTTATTTCAACGATTGGGGTCTCTCAGCGTCCTACATTTGTTAACGTCATATCCTTTTCTGTGTACCTGTGTAAAGTCTTCATCACCTAAAAGTGGTCATGCATCTATTTCTTGTCTTCTTGCCCTTTAGAACAATACCTAATAGTTTTATTGAGCACTGAGCATTTTTTTCCATTTTCTTTATTATGATAAAAAACACCATAAAAAAGGAAACACGTTGCTTTCCTTGCAGACGGCGATGGGGGTGATGCAGTTCAGCAAGGAGGAGGTGCGGGAGGTGTTGAGGTTGCTGGCTGGCATCTTGCATCTGGGGAACATCGAGTTTATCACTGCCGGCGGGGCGCAGGTTTCCTTCAAAACGGGTAAGGCCGCCGCTCCCTCCCCGGCCCCTCCTTCCTTCCTTCCTTGGCTTTTTCCTCGTAGGGAATTTCGACCTGAAATAGTGAGCGTCTGGCCTTTTGCAGAAAGAGCCCTCTGACCCGACGTAAAGAGCCCCAGAACTTTGTACTGCTCTGCACTGTCCGCTGGCGCAGGGGCCTCACCCCCCCGGGGGATGGTGGCTGTGTCCTTGCCCCTGCGAAGAAAGGGAAAGTGGGCCGAAGAAGAGGAAAGCCGAGGAATGAGGAGGAGATGTAGGAAAAATGGGCCGAGCCGGGGCAGTGTCGCCGTAGTTTTCCGTGGCTGTTGGGTGGGGGGTAGTGTGATGCGTGGGATGGTAGTTTTCAGTCCAGATGCTTGATCCGCAGCCTGCGCTGCCTCGAGCTGTTTCCCGGGTTATCTGTCCCCTAACACCAGCAGCTGCTTGTCCCTGCAGTCCTCCGAGATGCATTGGCAAGATTAAACGAGTTAATGTGCGCATAGCTCTGTCAGTGGTCGTTTTCTTGGAGTGGTTTATGTATTTGTTTTTAAACTGTTCTGATGGAAGCTGTCTACGGGGGCGTGGAGGCTGGGAACTTGATGAGCTAGAGCACAAATGGCTCTGGAGGAGCCCAGTGCTGCAGGTCAGTGGTTCTCAAACCTTTGGTCCCAGCACCTTGTAATAATCTTAGCATCATGGAGAACCCCAGAGAGCTTCTTTTAAAAATGTAAGTCTTATCTGTTGATGTTTATAACATTAGGAATTAAGACAGGCATTAAAAAAATTAATTCCAAAATGACCATAACAAACCCTTTTCATATTAAAATATAATATTTTTATTTAAGACTATTTTCCAAAAAAACCTCACCAAAACAGTGAGAAGAGTAATGTCTTACATTTTTGCAAGTTTCTTTAATATGTAATATAATAGAGGCCAGCTGGGTTCTCACACCTGCTTTTGCATTTATTTTGATGAGATATCTCAGGTCATGTAGCCATTGGAAAAATCATCTGTATACTGGTGAGGAAATGAGAATAAAAAAGCAAGTAACATTTAGTAGTATTATTATTGAAAATAGTTATGACTTCACAAGCCTCCGACAGGGTCTTGGGGAACCCCCCTAATCTTGGGGTCTCCGGGCTACACTTGGTCCAAGCACCAGGTTCTTTGCTACTAAAGTAGGGCTCGATAAAGGAATGAATAACTTAACAATAAAATGTGTCCATGAATTGCACCTGAGGGACTGAGGGATGCTTTCTGCCTTAACGTGTTGCAGTATGTGATTAGCTTTCCCCCCGGGGTCCCGTGGCCCCGGGGCCCATGGCCCCGTCCTTCTCNGCCCCGTGGCCCCGTGGCCCGTGGCCCCGTCCTTCTCGGGGCCGGGCGCCCATGCTTGTCTTCTTCCTTTCCAGCCTTGGGCAGGTCTGCAGAGTTACTTGGGCTGGACCCGACACAGCTCACGGACGCCCTGACCCAGAGATCAATGTTCCTCAGGGGGGAAGAGATCCTCACGCCTCTCAATGTTCAGCAGGTACATGAGTTTTGTTATCAAACTTGTTTTAAATGACACTCCTGGGTTTTCAGATCCATGGCTTTGAATCAAATAAGTAACTACAAGAGACCATTCAAATGAGTTTGGTTCACAATCAAAATTGTTATGCACATGGAGGGGAATAGGTAAGGTTGTTGAATTGTTTCTAAGAGACAGTGTAGCTGAGTCTTTAAGAGGGTTTTGTCTGCTGCAGATGGCCTGAGTTTGAGTCCTGACTCTCCACCTTTTACTATCTGTTCTTGGGAGATTTGTTCGCTGTGCCTCAGTTTCCTCCTCTGTAAGACAGGGATAATTATCATACCTATTTCAGAGGACTCTTGTAAGGATAGTAATAAAAAAATATGTACTAATATATACTAAGTACTTAATGGTTTATACTTATACTAAGTATTTAAGGATATTCTTGGTGAGACCTATAAAGTAACTAAGCAAGCTCCAGTTGATCCTTTCTTTCAAGTCTATGTTTTCCTAGATGGTATTGATTTACTTGATGTTGGGTGCTACCCCTGTTTAGCATGTGTCTCCCAAGGACTCCCCAGTGGGCAGGTGGCCTTGCCTGCCTGGGCTGTGCCCTGTCACCAGGAAATAGTGACCACGTCTCCTCCCCCTCAGGCAGTAGACAGCAGAGACTCCCTGGCCATGGCACTTTATGCACGCTGCTTCGCGTGGGTGATCAAGAAGATCAACAGCAGGATCAAAGGCAAAGACGACTTTAAATCTATTGGCATTCTTGACATCTTCGGATTTGAAAACTTTGAGGTATGCTTCCGACAGGTGGGACACATGAATTCTTTTCTATCCACTTATTGGTTGATCTTCAACAAAACTTTTGTAACAAACACTGATAACTTTTTTCTGCAGATTTCCCCCCCCTCCACCTTTACATATAATAGTGAGAGCACTAAAAGTACTTTTTTAATGGTTTCTTCTCTTAGGTTAATCACTTTGAACAGTTCAATATAAACTATGCAAATGAGAAACTTCAGGAATATTTCAACAAGCATATTTTTTCTTTAGAACAACTAGAATATAGCAGGTAAGCGCTCATGGAATTCTGTTTCGATTTTAAAAAATCAGCCACTACATTAGATAGTTTTAAAGCTATGTGTTACTATAGCTCAGCCCTTTTTATTTTAACCTTTCTGCAGGGAAGGATTAGTGTGGGAAGATATTGACTGGATAGACAATGGCGAGTGCCTGGACTTGATCGAGAAGGTAATGTATTGTGGAAGAGCCGTTTCAGTCCCAAGGGTGTCCAGCTGGGCTGATTCATATTTATGGGAACGAAATAGCTTGTGTGAACACGCACATCAAAGATGTGAATGTTCAGGACACAATGGACCATTTGGAAACATTAATGTAAATGCGCAAGGTTGGGTTTAAATACTTGGCTGCTATAAGACTATTGTCTCCTTGAGCTCAGTATTTTAGGATCGGCAGCGTGCAAGTTCTCTTCACGTAGGCTTGAGGTCAGCATCAAAGCCTTGCCAGTGCTGGTTGTAAAAGTTTTGTCTGCGAAATTGTGGTGGGTTCAATTCTGTTGTGTTTATGTGGAATTTAAATTTATTGTATTTCTTCATAGTATTATTCTTAATTTTTTCAATGAAGAAATTACTGTGCCTTTTCTTTTAACCACCTATTAGATAGAGAGTGGAGAGGAAAGAAGGTCTAAAATATTTTGAAGCATACATTCAACTTTTAATTCATTTAACCTTTCTTCCCTCTTCTAGAAACTTGGTCTCCTGGCCCTTATCAATGAAGAAAGCCATTTCCCTCAAGCCACGGACAGCACCTTATTGGAGAAATTACACAATCAACACGCTGTATGTCAAGACCTGCCAATTTTTTCTTAGTTGTGTCTTTATAGCACATCTGCAGATTGAGATTGCATTTGAAATATTTCAGTGCTGCCCCCCACCCCCACCCCCTGCGTGCCTCCCACATTTAATTTTTTTTATTTCAAACCAGTGGAGTTCTTCTTTGATTGCTAGAACTAAATTAAAATGAGCCAAAGGGATACATTGGGAACTGTTTGTCAGTATGTCCACGTTTAGTTTATGAGTGTAGAATTTTATATTTTTAATCTACTGTAATGACACAGATGAGAGGGACATGGTTTTCATTAAGTGCATCACCTGCTGTGTCTCATATATGACCGGTTTTGAAATTGTTTTCACTGTCTGGTATAGTTAGTTTTCTCTGGAGCTCAGTGGAAATCAATAAGTAAAAGTAGGCATTTGTGTTTGTTTTTTATTAGAATAACCACTTTTACGTGAAGCCCAGAGTTGCAGTCAACAATTTTGGAGTGAAACACTACGCTGGAGAGGTAACTTCTTAATTAAGGTCCTTATTGACGTTTGCCCATTTGGTATTTAGAGAAATAGTACTTTCAGAGGCCATTCATAAATATGTTGGTATGACTTCTTTTCATGGGTATTTCTTTTTTANTTATTGACGTTTGCCCATTTGGTATTTAGAGAAATAGTACTTTCAGAGGCTATTCATAAATATATTGGTATGACTTCTTTTCATGGGTATTTCTTTTTTAAAATATATCTTTATTGATTTNATATTTATTGATTTTAGAGAGAGGAAGAGAGAGGGAGAGAGAGAGATGGAAACATCAATGATGAGAGAGTCATTAACCTACTGCCTCCTGCACGCCCCCTACTGGGGATCGAGCCCACAACTCGGGCATGTGCCCTGACTGGAATCGAACCGAGATCTCCTGGATCATAAGTTGATGCTCAACAGCTGAGCCACTCTGGCCAGGCTCATGGGTCTTTCTTTAAAGGGAGTCTCCATTCTTATGACCTGAAATTACTCTTTTGATCAAGTCTGCCTTCTCGCATTTGTTTTTTAAAACCAGGTTCAGTATGATGTCCGGGGCATCTTGGAGAAGAACAGGGATACCTTTAGAGATGATCTTCTGAACTTGCTAAGGGAAAGCCGGTATGTCAACCTACCCCCTAAGACATCATTAGCAAGGAATAAAATGACCAAGAGATATAAAATACACAAATAGCAGTGACTACCATTTAATGAGGTGCTATAAGAACATCAAATCCATGGTTTAGGTGCTATTATTAATCCTGTTATACAGATGAGGAAACTGAGACTTGAAGCAGTTAAGTGACTTGCCCATAATCCCACTGGTTTTAATTGGTCTGCTTGGCTCAGGAACCTAAGATCCTAACCAGTATGACTATGTTCTTCAGGACAAGCTCAGAGCTGCTGTTAAATTGATCTCAGCCTTGGGTTTGTAGCACCTCTCTGTCTCTAGTTAGCGTAAAGCCTGTCAAGAAAAATAAAAAGATATTAATTCAGCTAAAATGATAAATTTATTACACATTCAGTNACCTCTCTGTCTCTACTTAGCATAAAGCCTGTCAAGAAAAATAAAAAGGTATTAATTCAGCTAAAATTATAAATTTATTACACATTCAGGTATTCACTCATGAATTGTAAATTCACACCATTAAATCAATAGTTGATGAGTTTAGCTATTTGTATATGTTAAACCAGGAGGCTTTGTGAGAGAGAGAGGGAGGAAAATAACCCTGCATTAAAGCTTTCAATACCTGTGTGAGGTCCAAAGTGAATCTATAACAGAAATAAATTTTTAATATGTAAGGAAGGAAGGTAGCCCAATTATTTAAACGTTGTTTAAATAACGTTTTAGGAGTGTCAAGGCCAGGTGGCCACCCTGTCACTTAGATAATATCACCTGAGCGGAAGGGCGCCCATCTAAGGTGTCAGCTTAGAAGCTCAGAATTGGAAGCGTTCAGTCTTTAGATGTGTTTTAACTCTCTTATCTGAAGATTCCCTATTTACAACATGGTCAACCATTTTACTTTTAGATGAGGTTTTAGACCTGTAAAAATGGCAGTATTTTAAAAATTACCATAGCGTGTTTTTTGCCAAAGCAGTTTCTTAGTTATTAGGTTTAAAGTGATACCTTTAAATAAAAGTAGTGTCTTGATGTTAAATGGAAACATTTTGTTGTAGTGAGAAGCTCACAGGTGTGGAGATCAGCAAGATGGCAATTCACTCTCACACATAAAGTGGTTTTGTGATTGGACTAAAGAACTTTCTGGTTCAGCCCCAGGTTTCTCTCTGCAAACTGAGGGGCTTGGGCTCACTCTACTCTTTCACCTTTGACATCTGTGACACTGTCATGGAACCAAAGCTTTTCTCCATAGTGCTCAGACCACTGTTGGAGAACTTCACAGAGCGAGCATGACATAGCACCTGGAACAAAACTGAAGAAGGGCTGGGGCCAAGTGAGAACTGATGGGAGGAGCTGGCATTACCACCTCAGGAGGTGTGGATGCCCAGACGTTGTCCCCATCTTGCCTGGTCTCAGTGAAGCCACCAAACCGCCCCCCACTTTACAGCCCATAGCGACTTCCATGCAAGGAAGATAAAAAGTTATTGAGAAGCCTTTGATTTTATTAATAGGGACAATGAATTCTTATACAACTTTTTAGTAATAGTAACAGCTACCAACATCAGCACTTACCATCTGCCAGGCACCCTGCTCAGCCTTTTGTACATTTTCACATTTCATTTCACCTAGAGTTATGGGATAAATTGTAAAATGACCCCCATTTTCCAGATGGAAATACTGAGTCCTGGAGAGACAAGACAAACATCCTGCCCAGTCACACAGCCAGGCAGTAGCAGAGGCAGAATTTGAACCCTAGTCTGCCCCTCACTCTAGAGTCAGCACCTTTCTATTGCTGACTGATTGGATATTGCAACACTGTGAGATGAGCAAAACAAATGTGTCCCTCCTACAGGCAGGGAAATCAAGGCTACAGAAGCTTGAGGGGGTGCTCTGGAAAGCACAGCACTCGTAACTGGCATGTCACCCTGGGCTGCCTGTCACTTGCATCACAAGCCACTGTTCTTCTGCAAGACTCTAGTGCTCTGAAGGCAGCCACATTTTTTTTCAGTGCCTAACGCCCTGTGGCAGTGGTTGGTTTGAAATCTTTGGAAGCTGTCTTAGCTGTTCCAGGCCTCGGTGTGTTACTGTCAGTGGGAAAATGCATTTTAATTACAGTCATCTAGCACCTAATAATTGGGTGTGTGCCCCTCATGGTCCTCCGCTCTTCACTCTCACAGATTTGACTTCATCTATGACCTATTTGAACACGTTTCAAGCCGCAATAACCAGGACACCTTGAAATGTGGAAGCAAACACCGGCGGCCCACGGTCAGCTCACAGTTCAAGGTTAGTCTCTGCTGCTGGCTTTGATGACTTCGTCGTTATTGTCATTTAGGAATTGAAAATAGGCATTAGGAGCAAGAGCTCCATGAGCCTGTGCTTTTCTTTTATATCATCCTTTAAACCAGAAATAAAATACACTTTTTTTCTGAGCCAGATGAAAACATGTAGTTTTTGTTGTTGTTATTAAAAAGAAATAGCTGCTTATTCTGATTATGAAATAGCAGTTCTTAAGAATTGCCATGTGGGATTGTGTTTGGCTGTGTGGGATCACTCTGATTTGTATTCAGATGATCATCTGAAAATAGTGTATATTTCTTCCTATGTCTGGATTTTTGTGTTTTTCTCAGGTATATTTACAGTATCATAACTAAGAGTAATAACCAAATATATATTTAAATAAGGTCATTGTCGGTTACCTTGTCAAGATGTTTAAAAGTCAGGGAAAATCAAGAACCATTTTCATTTTCATTTTAAATGTTAAGCCTTTTATGCAGTTTAGAGGTAGAGCATATGGTGACCATCTTTCTAATTTAATCCTAATATGAAGGGAAACGGAGGCACGGCAGTCAGCAGACATTCAGAACCTCTGCCCTCCGTGGGGCTCTCATTTACTCAGTTAGGTGCATCGGTGGGAGTCTGTGTGTGGTCTGTTGTGCAGTGTGATTGGTGATGAGCCAGATACACCCAGCGCTGGGTAACTCGATCACATGGGGGACAGATGGGATATAATAATAATAGCTACCATTTATTATATAGACTTGTTATGTGCCAGTTGTTGGGCTAATCACTTTATATACATTCTCTTGTTCACGTCTCTCATAATCTTATAAGTACATATTATTGTCCTGTTTTATAGATGAGGAAACTGAGGTTTAGAGAAATGGAGACCCATTCAGTCCCTCTGAAGACTGAACAGCATTTGAATTAAGCTTAAGTCTGTCTGACTCTAAAACCTAGCTTTTACTTGCTTAGTGGAGCTTTCTTTTTCTAGATTGGTGTCGTCTTGGAAGGCTTTGTGGATATTTTGGAATTAAATTGGACTAGGAATCAGGGAAATGGGAGAGAGTGGGTGGGCCTACCAGGTCGAGACAAGGACAGCAGGTTTCCTGAGACGGGAATGTGATGAGTCCTGTCCCTGGAGGATTGTGAATAGATATGGGCCAGCTGACTATCCACCCTGTATGATCTTAAATTGGTACCAGTATATGAAGGGCCATGAATGCCAGGACATTGTCATCTGTGAAAAACTTAAAGCTTTCTAAACAGAGAAGTAACTAATCAATGTAGTGTTGCAGACAACCCAGTTTCCTCAGCAAGATTGTAAGAAGGAAAAAGAGAGATGGAGGGGGGAAATCAATGGATTAAAAGAGACTTAAAAGACATATCAACCAGTTACAATACATGAACCTTGTTTGCCTTCTTAATTCAAAGAACAGAGCATTTAAAAATGAAATGTGAGACAGTCGAATGTTTAAATATGAAGCTTGATTGAGACAGTTGCACTTTTTAATGTTAACATTAGGAATTCACGGTAGATCTTTTTAGGGTGATGCTATGGACATGGTTATCTATATATATTTTAAAGTGATTACCCTTTAATAGCACATATTGAAATGTCGAGGGATGAAGGGATGCACTGTCTCAGATTTGCTTTTCTACAAGGGGTGGGCGTGGTATGGACGGAGACAGGGATCAGAGGAAATGGGATTAGCCATGAGCTGAAGCTGATGAGTGAGTATACATTACACGCTGTCTGCTTTGGTAAATGTTAAAAATTCACAATAAAGAAACTAGAAAGAAAAAAAAAGAAAGAAAGCAGTATTACAGAAGGTTGACCTGCCTGGTGATTTGAAGGTAAGAGGTTGGAGGTCCAAGACCAGCGAAGGGTTGGTAGAGGCTGTCATTTTGATGGAAATAATGAGTCAGGAGAAATAACTCTAGTGGGAGAATGCATACTCCTAAGGTTTTCTCTGCTAACCACTGAAATATTCTATGCTTTTTTTGCTGATTTAACAGAATAGTTTTTTTTAACAGAACTATTTTAAGAAAGTGACAAATGAATTTTGTATACTGTATTGTGAAATCATTTCTGTGACAATGAATTGTAATATCTTTGCTTTATTTTATATTAGAATGAGATGATTAAAAATAATGACTATTCCTATTCCTGTGATTTACATTGGGTTCTTAAAAATTTGTTTCTGATAAGTGTCTAAGGTGCTGAGAAATTTAAAGAATGACGTACTAAGAGACTAAATCAACATATACTCTTTTTTCTTTCTGTTAGGACTCACTGCATTCCTTAATGGCAACGCTAAGCTCCTCTAATCCTTTCTTTGTTCGCTGTGTCAAGCCAAACATGCAGAAGGTAAGACAGGCCAATTCTAGACCGAGACCCCGTCTTTGAGGACACTGCCTCCTAGGGTGGTTACTCACAGATTGGGTTTCTCCAAAGTCCTTTCATTATAGATGGTTGGAGATGTATGTGGCATTATTATAACCTAACATTGCTGAATGGAAAAATTCCCTTTGTCTCTTGGGCCTATTTGTCTGCTTTTGAATGATGCCATTAAGCTTTAGAGAAATCTAGTTGAAAAGGAAACATTGTAAAGCCTTCACTTTTTTATTTTTAAGCATTTGATGTGAAATTCCTGGGCAAGCTTCTATTTTAGAAGAAATAGTTGCTGTATTTTTTGTGGTTGATTTTCCAGTTTGTTTTATTTTCTTTTGCTTTGTTGTTAAATGTTGTTAAAAAAGAGTCTGTATTTTGTGCTTTAAGGACTTTAGGTGGTCGTAACTGATTTGAACATTCCTGAAAGGTTATCATCATGAGTTTTCTTGTCTAGGCTCTGAGATTTTAGCTTTTCAATGCCATATCCTGATGAGAAACAATGTGAATTTTAAAAGGAAAAGCTATTTAAACAAAGAAAATTTTGTATTAGATATAGATGCAGTTGCTGAGTCTGAGGCTAAAATGGGCATCTTGCCTTAGATTGTTGTTAAAAAATTGATATTATTGCCCTGGCTGGTGTGACTCAGTTGGTTGAGTGTTGTCCCGTGTACCGAAAGGTCAGTGGTTTGACTCCTGGTCAGGGCACATGCCCAGGTTTCCAGTTCAGTCCCCAGTCTGGGTGCGTGCAGGAGGCAACCGATTGTTTCTCTCTCACATCAATGTTTCTCCCTCTCTCCCTCTTCTTTCCTCTCTCTCTCAATAAATAAATAAAATAACAATCAATAAAAACATATTTTAAAAAGATTTTTGAAATTATCTTGATTTGGTGAATATCAGCTCTTAGTAACCCCCCTGAAGAGAGGAAAACCCCCACAAGATAGTAATGTCAAGTTGAAAAATTGATGTCATCCTCATAAGGATTAAGATAAGGAATCTGACCTGAACTGCGTCCTATGAGACTTGTGTTACATTCTGATATCGAGGCTGAGGCTAGATCTTTTTATATCAGTTACCAATTGCCTTTAACTTAATATTACAGTGATTCCTGATTTACAATTTAAAGATGTTTATTTGTAAGAATCACAGTATTGAATTCTGTCTTCTCGGAAGGCAAAAGTGCATGTTCTCTTTATTGAAGAGTAACCTGTTCAGTTTGTCACCTGACTGGGTGGTGAGAATTTGGCATGTGTATGGCATTAAGATGGTCGAGACTCGTCTTACATAGCAGATCTGTGATGATTAATTTAACGTGCATCTCTTCTGGTTGTCTAAACAGTAACCCATCTTCCCGGTTTTCAAATTTACATTAAAATGTTTTAGGTTACCACAAAAAATGACACATAAGCAATACGTAACTTTTTTGAAACTATATAAGAAACTAATAGTTAAGACATAACTGTATGTCATGCCAGCTGCTTTATATTTCACTCTGTGGTCCCAATGGGCAGTATTTACAAGGCAGTATAAATGGACTTTGCATTTGGGATACTACACTTACAGAAGCTGTTTCACATTTGTCAGCATTTATTTTCTGATTTTATTACAGAGATGATATTACCATATTTCATCCTTAAACATGCCTGTTTTTCCCCAACTGAAGGTCTGGAGCTTGGGGTGGATTTACAGCTTTTGGCAAGCCTTAGTTTATAGGAGCTCTCTCTTCTTTGTGCAATGTTCCAGCAATTGGCATCTCAGATTCAATGAAATGGGGGACCTGCTATCTCAGCATTATTATAAGGATAGGAATTCTTTTATATTGTAATGGCTTTTGATTTAAAAAAAAAATTGTAATAGCTTTTGAAATTAGGCCCTCTTGAGCTGAAAACTATTCAGCAGCCAGAATAGGGAAGAAATTACTCTTTCTGATGTTTATTTTTCCTTGCTGGGATTTGATTGTGCCCAGTTGCTTTGGTTTTTTGCATTTAAAAAAATGATCCAGCCAAAACTCCTACTTCCATTTGTGTCAGCTTCACAACCCTTTTCTCTTGACCTGGGGCAGACACTTATTCATAACACACCAAGAGAGATGGGCTTTAGAGACTTCGACAAAAATGTCTCGGTAGCATTTTAAAGACACCCAGGCAGTAAAGGCACAGACACAAGAACTGACTTGTCTGAGGCCTGAGATGTAGGTGTGAGTTTTAAGTGTGAAGATGCTAATTAGAATATAGAGATACTAAATTATGATGCCCTCAGCCTTCATTTGGTCCCACTGAAAATACGGAGTGTTACTGGTGATTATGTCACATGACATGTATGTAAACAGCCCTCATTTGGAGTTCCCTATGACTACTGTCTTATCCAAGATAGATGCCTCTGGAAATTTCACAGGGAAAATCTTGCTGCCTTCCTTAACCCCAGAGATGGGACGTGTGCATTTCCCACACGGAGGGATGTGGCCACCTCCCCTACTCAAGTGAGTTGTTCATTGTGGTTTTGAGAGCATTTATTCAAATACATGTGTGTGGAGGCATTTTGTGTATCATTCTGAAACATGGATCATGGGTTTGGGCAGATTTTACAGGGTTTTTTGCGGGGGAGGGGGGCAATTCTAAGACCAGAAAGGAATAAGAACAGCGGCTCTAGAGTCCATGGCCTGGAGAACAGTGGCCTTAGAAACAGCGAAGTAGCTGCTTTGTGCTTTTAGGACCATGCCCAGCATGTGCAAGACTCCCCCAGTGGCCTGGCGAGTGTGGGCGCGCACTCGGCTGCAGGGGGGCCCCAGGCTGTCCGGACAGGCTGCCTCCCGTTCTAGGCGAGTGCGCGCAGCTCAGACCGGGCACTGGGGCCTCCAGCCTCTGGAACTCCTTTGTGGGGGTGTTATGGGGTGTTTGTATTTTGCTTTGAGAAACAGGTGCACGCAGGGAGAATACAACTAAGTGCTGGAACAATTAAGTCAGTCCAATTATAGTGATAGGTGGGCTTTTTTTCTTTTTTTTCAGACAACTCATAGCTAACTGGTGCTCAGTTATAAAGTGAATTAGTAAAAAAGGCACACCTCTTGATCCAGTGCTGTGCCTTAGATAGCACTGAAGAATATAATCCTCCAGTTGACCCAGAATTTTTAGTTTGCAATGAACAGACTTCCCCCCAGATGGTTTTTAGTTGACGAGGTGGCCAGTTAGCTTTTTTCTTTTGTATTTGCTCAGGCAGTAGTGGGCTAAAGTGCCCAAACCAAGCCCAGCAGAGTTCTGTATGGAAGGAAACCTGCTCTGCCTCCTCAGAACTTCTCCCCAAGGGTGTCCCAGGGCCTGTGATCTTTTCTGTCCCTCCTGCCTCTCTCTGCGCCTGGTATTTTAGCGAATGAGTTCCAGTCAGAAAAGTCTGTCATTAACATTCCCCAGAAAAACCCTGAGGAGGTGCAGGACAGAATTAAAGAAGGGGACAGACCGATCGGTATCAGGCAAACCCTCCCAGGTGTGAGAACTGGCTGTCTGGAGTTGCAGCCCCACGTGAGGCCCGGCCACCTCCTGCAGGAGCAGGCAGGGCCCCACCTGTGGCTCCACTGTCTGCAGGTTTGACGCGTGGAGCACTCAGGTGCCACAGGGGGAACATACTGGGTTCCAGCAGCAGTGTCTCTACATTTGGAACCCTATGGAACAGTATCCTCAGAGCTTCTGCCAGGCTTCCTCACAGAGGCAGGACCGGAGTCACCTGAGGCGCTTTCTCTCGCCTGGGAGCTGGTGGAGGAAGGCTTCCAGAAGATGGGCCCCTTGGAGGAGAGTTTATTTAAAAGGAGAGGGGAGAGAGAGCAGAGGGATGTCCACACCGAGGGGGGGTGGAGACTGGGCCCCAGAGGAGGGAGTCCATGAGGCCTGTGAGGTGGACAGCAGTCGTATTTGCTGGAACAAGGGATGTCGAGGAGAATGAAGCTGGAGATGTAGGCTTGGCCCTTGCCTTTTTTTTCTTTTTAATCCTTACCAGAGGATATGTTTATTGATTTTTCTGTTTTTAGAGGAAAGGAGGGGGAGGCGGAGAGAAACATCGATGTGAGAGAGAAACAGCCTCTGTTGCCTCCCTTACGTGCCCTGACTGGGGATGGAGCCCGCAGCCTTTTGGTGTGTGGGAGACACGCCCACCCACTGAGCCACCCGCCAGGACTGGCCCTTGTGTGGAGCGCTGTCTCTGTAAGACACAGGCTGTTAGGGCTTCACACAGGAGTCTTGGAGGAAAGTCAGGGAATGCCAGCGTTCTGCACTTAAGTAAATCCTGATGACCCGCGTCCCTGCCTTCACACCGCCACTGTTGACATCAGACCTGGTCCCTCATTGGGACAGCACCCTAGACGTCCGACCACGCAGGAAGTGGAACGATGTGCACGCATGGGGGAAACATGAGCCTTTTGTTTCCAGAGGCATAAAGATTTGAAGACTGAATTAACAAATTGATCACACTTGATCCTCAGGAGTCATATTTGTGTGATCCAGGTGCTGCCTGCCATTTTTGTCTAGGGTTTTTTGGGGGGGATGGGGGTGGGCGGCCTTAAAGACCAAACGTTTCTGTAAAAAGGTCTGATGATAATGTGGTATATGAACTACCTTGAATTTTTGTGCGATATTTATTCTTCCTCTATTATTTTCTGTCATTTTATTCACCTTATTTCTCATTGCCTTCCTGAACTTTATCGCAGCAACCCTTGGCATTTTGTTCTAGGCTTTGGTCTCTCCACCCCGATCCTGTTTGCGGAGTACAGTGTTCCATAGAGAGGACCGTGGCCAGCGCCGCTTTGCAGGGCCTGCCTTGTGCATAGTCGCGCCCTGCTGCTTGGCTCGGTGTCCAGGCTGTCGCGTGTGCTCAGTAAATGTTGGATCAAATTGCTCATAAAAGGACACTGGAGAGATGCTCATGGTGTATGAGTGCTTGACTTCCTGTGCTCTTTAATCCTTATTGCCACAGGTGCCATTCTAGTTCATTTA